CCCTGCCCGCCTCCCGCCAGCGTCCGCCGGCCTGGCCGGAGCCCCCGCCCGCCTTCTGCAAGGGAGCGGAGGTGCCTCCGTAGGCTCCTTGAGCGGGCGGCAAGCCCCCCTCCCCCGCAGCCGACAGGGGCCGCTCAGCAGGCAACCCTTACTGGGCCCCGAGGAGTAACCGGGTGGTTTATTCGTCGGATGCCCGTCCCGCCTTCGTTTGGCAGCTCAGGGCGGGATGCGCAGCGCTCCCCCCTCCCGCTTTTCCCGCCGCAGCCCAGGCCGAGCGCCGCCCGGCGTGCGCTCAGCTGTCCGGCCCGTGCGACGGAGCTTGCCACGGGTAGCCAGCGCCTTTGGGAAAGCCGCCAGGGAACCAGAATGCCACAGTACGCCCTGCTCAGAAGTGCCGGCTGGGGCAGGTTCACACCACACGGGAGGCGAAAGTTGGTCACCGTGGCTGTGACCCCAAAGCTGTGTAAACGTGTGCACTCGAGGAGGCCACAGAAAGACTAACACAAAGACTTGGCTTACAAGTTATTCAATTAACTGTGGCTTAGAGTGTTGTAGCAAACCCAGCCTTGTTCATTATATGGGTTAATTAACGAATTAATCAACATATGGATTAATTCAGTAACCAGGTCAAGCAGGCAGTCGAACATGTTTTGAGATGGTCAGTTTTCCTCTGAAAATCTTCCTTTTAAACACGGAAGTGTAATCCTCCTTAACAGACAGGCATGTTCAGGAGTGGTTAATCTTGCTAAACACAATAGGTGAAGAAGCCAGCCAAGGAAGTGTTGCTAATCGTTTTGTCCGTGTCTCTTGGCATCGCCAGCCCTCCTTGTGCAACAGTGAGCCTGTTAGGCCGGTCCAGCCAACTTGGACGGCGCCGCGCCGCGCTTTAAACCGCCCCCCCCCCGGTCAATGGCCATGGCCCAAGCGGGCGATGCTTGTCCAAGGGGAACGTCTTGCAGTGACCCCAATGGTGGACGACGCGGGATGGGGAGCGCCAGCGGCAGGCGGCTTCCCCCTACACCTGGGCCCGCCGGACAGCTCCCCAAGGGGGTGGCGGCGCAGGGAGCAGGCGAACCCAAGGGCTGCTTCGCAGCTGGGCGGCGGGTCGGAGTCCCCTTTCCAGAGTGCGCGCGGCGGGGGGCTCTTCGGAGGGAGGCCTCCAAAGCACCGATAGCGCGACCCTTCATTCCAGGCGCCGCCCGACCCGGGAAAACCAATGGCAGGACAGAATGCCAGGCTCCCTCCGCCCCGACTGCCGGGCTAGTG